TATGGTTATATTTTGATTGTAAACTGTGTCATTCTTCTTTTTATAGCCCTATGAAAAAGTAATATTCCCTAAAATTGGCAAATTAAACTATTTTTATTTACAAGAACAACACCCTATTATCCTCCTATAGAAATATTGTAAATACGTTTCGAGATTTGCGGCAAAATAAATACACCTTTAACTGACTCACGTAGATGCTCTGTTGCTGCTAGTCTGCTCTGCTGTAAGAATAAAGGGAAGTGCCTCTTTGGACTTTATAAGAATTCAATTCATGAATGAAGTTGAATTGATTGGGTAGCAAAAATTTAAAATGTTCTTTTGGCCTTGGCTCCCACTCTGAGACATGGAGATAATTCAGTGGTACAATGATCCCGAGTGTTTTTTTCTATCAGAGCTGTGATTTATATATTGTATGCCTATCCTACCAGGTAGCTCCAACAATGGCTTTGCATCGTATGCTTCCGCCATGGGGATAAGCACAATGCTAATCCTAAGATACATGGACTCTGGAAACTACATAAAGCATGTGCAGGATTTCTGAGGGCCTGCGCAATACTCTCTCGAAAAATGCAGTTTTTTAAAATAACTTCTGTTGGGACATACGCGTCCAAATTAATTCAAATTTGGCGTCGTACTTTAAATTCAATCATTTTGAAAATTCTTTGGGTTTAATTAAGAGCAAAGAACATACTTTTCAAACTTGTCGTGAACGAGCTAGTTAATTTTTGCGCTTAAATAAGCCGTATAACTTCCAAAGGAATTATTTTTTTCGAATGAGACTCTTTGAAAGGAATCTTTTTTGAACTGCTTTCAAATATGACCGGAAGATCACGCAATTTCCCAGCCAGCCGCCCAAGCAAAATGGTACATTTTCAGCCGATTCCCCAAATCAAATACATTTCCACTTAAGATCGCATTGTTTGAGAATCTGGACCCGAGCAGTTTCGTGGCGACTCGACTCGCTCATGGAAAGAAGATAAGCAATACGCCTATTGTCTGTATTGAAAGTTGGATTTCTACTTTGGCAAGCGTTTCTAGTACCCAATTCCAATATAGAGAAATTGTTTCAACAATCCTTCTTCTAGCTTTTACAGAGTATTCTCTTCCAATTGATCAAGTATATCAGCAGCATTTTTAGTTTCAATACTCGACACATTGGTGTCAGGGTTCTTTCGGTTACTATCTGCACAAAGGGATACAAAATATTAAAAATCAATACATTATTATTGTGCATCTTAATGAACAGAAGGAATTATGTTTTTGCACTTTAATGCCACGATGACTCAATATTTTTCTCATCATTTCATCATCAGATCATTTATCTCTATTGGCACACATTACATTATTGTATTCAAAGTTAGTAGAATTTTACTTCTGTTTTCAGCGCTCATCCACGAGTCTAAGAGATAATTTTGAACGTTTGTTGTTTGTTTGAAGTAGAAGTTCATTACTTTGATGATGGCAGACATTCAGTCGGTCATTATGACTACAATCAACATGACCCATACAAGAAACGCATTTACCATACGCGTGATCTTGGCTGTCCGGGTGACGCCGCGTCAAAGGCTGTGTTGCCGACGTTTCGACCATCCTGTCGTGGTCTTCCTCAGGCCAATGTTCGCATACCAGCCCTGAGGAAGACCACGAAAAGATGGCCGAAGCGTCGACAACACAGCCTTCGACGCAGCGTCACCCTGACAGCCAAGATCACGCACATGACTCTGGCTCACGCACTCACACACTGGCCACGGAAGCCTACGACCGCATTTACCATACAATGAATTCTTGCCTAAAGCATATAAACGTTCTGATAGTAGGGCGTCATCTGATGCCGTAAAACTGAATAAAAGGACAATTACACTTGGATGGAAAGATATGCGTATCTGTAGCCAATACACTCCTGCAATTTCTGTTCCGCTTCCACGGTAGGCATGTGCCCAATCATATTTCATTTTTTCAAGGAAAACTTCTAATTTTGAGAAGAATGCTCTCAACTTTCCACTAAATTTCTTTGTGTACGATTTAGTGATACATTCTATGCATAAAACACAGTAGATTCTAGGCTAAAAAATTACGATCATCTAAAAAGAGCCTAATTGGACGTTCGAGGGAAATTAAAAATATACAAAATATCAAATGAAATTTGGGGACGTTTTGTATTCTTCAAAATGGTTAAAATTCACACAATCTAAACCCTATAGAATAACATCCAGCTCATAAAAATCTCAATTGTGCTGAAAATGGCACATTTCTGGTACAATACCAATAGTAGATCAGCAGCCTTAGGTGTGTGCGATATCACTATTTGTGCACGAAGTGGCAAAGGAACAGGGATGATTGTGAAATAAAGAAAGTATAATATTTGGTCACAGTTGTACATTAAATAGTAAAGTTATAATAGTACATTCCATTAAACTTTTGTACATTGAATTTAAAATTATATTCTAAATAACTTCAACTTACACTGTTGTAGAATTTAGTCTTATCTCACTAAGGTGCTAAAACCATAAAAATTCAACATCATACAATTCACGACACGTTATTTATATCTCAAACTTCTACCTGTGAAATATTCAGAACAGTTAGTGAACTAAAAACATCGTTCGGTGTGGATGAATTTCAGGACTGTTTATTAAAATCTTGTGCACCTGCCTTCATAGACCCGATAACTCATATTTTCAATGATTCTTTATGCACAGGAATATTATAAGATATTTTTAAAACAGAAGAAATTAAGTTAATTTTTAAAGAATGCAAGAAAATTGAAATTCAAAATGTTCGGTCGATTTATCCTTGGCCACTTTTCTCAAAAACATCAGAGAAGCTTTCTTTAATTGGAATGGAAACATTTTTCAGATACAAAGAAGCGATTTCAGACTCAGAACATGGATTTAGTAAAACAAAATCTACGGAATCTGCCATTTTTCCTTTTCTTAAAAACGTTGCTTTATCAATGGACCAAAATGAAAGACCTGTAGGTTATACTATTATATATTTTGAAAGATTTTACCGTTATTGACAACCTTTTTCTCTCAAAATTACCTTCATATAAAATTAATTGTATTGCCCTAACTTGGATAACTTAGTACTTTAAGCATCCCTCTCAAAAAGTAGAAATACCGTAATGGCACGAAAGAACATGATTCACTTATCTTTGAAATTCTTTGCCAATTGAGAATGGGGTCCCGCAAGGTTCGATCTTAGAGCTATTTATCTTCCTTTTATACGTAAACCGCCGATGACACGAATATTCTTTGCAAAAACGAAACAATAAATTGAACGATTTCATAAAAGTCAAATTGGTTCCGTAATAACAATTTAATAATTAACGAAGGAACAACTATGCTGATGTTAAGGTAACAAAATGTCTTTGTCACTCAGTTCTGTCAAACCTTAAATGGAATATCTACATAACTGAAGACTAAATAAAGTTCGTTATGTTACGCATTCAGAATACTCTCAAATTATGCCACCCTTCATGCAGCTCGTTGCGTGTAGTTTGCAAATGTGCATTGCCGCCTAAGAGAAAGCATAATATTCTGAGGAAACTAATACTCTATTACCCAGACTGTTCGATTGCAGAAAAAAATCAATAATAAAAAACGTCTGCAAGCCCAGTGATTCCTGCAAGCCTCTCTTCCTTGAGCTTGAAATCTTATAATTGACTTGCCCCTTTATTTAAGAATCTATACTTTTTGTCAAAACTTACTTACTTAACTGTGGGAACAGATTTTCATGCAATATTGATATTTATAATTACAACACACGTCGTAGAAATCACTTTTTGAGATGTCAGTGTCAACAGCTCTTTAAATATTACACATGAACGTTACTTTACAACATAGCGTTGCTTTAAATAATACTTTATAACATACTTTACACATTGCCAGATGTCGTTAAAGAAATAAAATAGGAACACAAATTTAAGTTTAAACTATTTAGTAAGTACTGACCATCAAAAAGAAAAAAAAATATTTATTTTAACAATGATATGATATAATATAATATAATGCATTAGTTTACATTTGTATTGTACAATTTTAAAACTAACAATTTGCTGTAATTAGAAATGTACTTCAGCTTCCGGATCAATGATACCCATCTCGATCAGGTTTTTGTCATTCCTCTCTCTATTGAGCAAATGCTCAGATGGTCCCTTGTTTTGCTTCTGGTCATAAATGTAGCTTCATTATGCGCACGTTTTGTTGAGCTCTCTTTTTGATTGTAGTGGTAGTAGTGATAGACCTAGAGCTGGGGGTGTCTTATTATTTTGTTAGCAAACAAACCAATCAAATCTGGCGTTTGTTTACCGATGCAAACAAATTTTCTGTAACTCGCGAGCGAAAATGACTAGTTTTCACGTATTGCTAACCTCAAGTTTTTTAAGTTTTAATTATCACTCAACTTTTAATCGTCAATGTTGGAAAGAGGTTCAGGAGCTCAAGCAAACGCACGCGGAGGGTACTTGTCCCCTATATATCACGTACAGTTTTTTCTGTTTTTTGACTAAAAAAATCGAATGAAAACGTACAAAATAATGTAAAAATAGTTTTATAATAAAAATACACTTCACGAATGAACTAAAGGCAACATTTCTAAATTTCATTTCGCGGAAAGGGTATAACTGCTTCCCATTTTTTAAATAATCGGTTTTAACATATTTTAAATTACAATATTTGGAGAGCTTTGCTGACAATGTAGGGATGTTGCCATGAAAAATTAATGAATCAGTACATTGTTAAAAATCACAAAACCAACAAGGAAATATTCATACAAAAACAGGATAAAATCAATTCACTGACATTTAATTGAACATTTCCATTGTTCATATTTAATTGAACATATCTCCCTTTTCAAATGGAATTAATGTTCTGAAAAGGATTAAAATGTTCAATTTATTATGTTCTGGCTTTTGAATTTATTCATAAAATTTCATTTCAGGTTTAATATGAATATTACTACTTTATCGGCTGAATATCACAATGTTATACTAGTGGTAGTGCAGGCACTATGTAAACAAATAATTGAATAAAACAGTTACGAGTACCAACAGACACACTTCACAATATCCATTAAAAGTATTATTCATTAAACAGCTTACAAACACTATTTGAACCATATACTAATTTAGATGTTAGCAAGTTACAAACCATTCATGTGAAATATCTTATCCTCTAGCTTCTATCAGCAACATCAAGTATGTGTATGACCCTTTTAGAATCTGGAACAGTAATAAACATATACATACGTAATAAACATGTATATTTAGTGAAGGGAGGAAATATCAATTATTTGAAGGAAACCTCTCCCTAGAATTAGATATTTAAATAAATAGTGTAAATGTTTTTATTAATAAAGTACATTTACAGGCATAATATGGTAAATTAATTCAATAGTTGCATAGTTTTGTTTCACTCTTTTGAAAAACATCTACAATATTATTTAAATTTTAGATATTTAAGAACATAATCTAGTGTTCCCTTTCATGTTAAAATTAAAATATTCTTATATTTAATTTACGAGTATGTCATGAAGAGACTATATTCAGTGTTGTCAGCGCGCTCTAGCTGTACCCCGTTGGTCCCTTTGTGTGGCCAACAAAGTTGATGAGTAATCGTCGAAACGACTTAAACGTGGTACATGTAACATTATGACGAGGAAGTGTGCTGGTCATAGAATCACAGTTATAGACAAAAATACTAGACCTCGACAATTTACTTATATTAATTTGAGAACATTTATATTTTTATTTTTATTTTTATAGCTCACATGCGTCTTCAACGCTTGTTCACATGCAAAGCTATAAGTTTGTTAAGTGCACTTCTACCTACCTGTAGGTTAAGAAATTTAAATACCACAGCAAAGGGTTTTAACATCTTTAGTAACCTAAATAAACAACCACCCATTCATCGCAAGTCAACATTATTACGAAAAAATCACATGGTAATTTACAAGAGTTATAGTAATCAAAGAAATGCATTATTTTTGGGGATGTTCAATATTAATTATAATGTTATTAATAGTGCACTTTAAAAAATAAATATATGGTAAATTAGCATTATTTTCAGCGCCCATCTTCCTCTACGGTATAAAAGTGTAGTGTTGAAATATATATCGCAAGCAATTTCCAACAATATCGATTATCCTGCCGCAACAACTGAATTCATGTTTCATATCGCAATAATGCCGTAAATTATCTCAAAAACCTTGAGATTTTATGGTGGCAGATAAAACGCTGATCGTACTACGAAATGTTACAGTGTTATTACTACATCGTCAAAATTAATAATCTCAGCTTCACTACGCGTTCATCCGCGTGGAAGTACTCTATGAAGAGAATGAGTAAGGGAAGTGTGGTGGAGGCACTCTCCGAGGCGAGGGTGTCGAGGAAGTGTGATGCAGGTACTCTGAGGAGAAGGAGTCAAGGGAATGTATTGTGTTACCCACCGAGGCGAAGATGTGGAGGGCGTATGGTGGGTCTTCTTACCGAGACGAAGGTGTGGAGGGAGCGTGGTATGGCCTTCAACGAGGCGAAGGTGTGGAGGGAGCGTGGTGGGTATTCTAACCGAGGCGAAGGTGTGGAGGGAGTGTGGTGGGAATTCTAACCCAATCGCTCGGTGGATTGCCATCGATGATCACTACGCATCAGCGTTACCATTGCCTCGTGAGTGCCACGCAGCCTCACCCCTTCGGTCGGGGATTAAATGTAAATTGGCACGCCAAACCACAAATCTCTTATAGATCCTCCAACACATTATGCGCCTCGGTTAGAAGAAAGAAATCCAAAATTCATGTACAAAGCCTCTCAAGCCTATAATCTTGCAGGGAATTTGTCCACAGAATGCCGTTATCACTATCGAAACCATCGCCGCTCGGTCGAATGATTCCGCGAACTCTAACTGATGAACTTCACAACCTTTTCAGATTCACGTTGGTGCCTGAACGTACTCCCTTCCAACAACAGCCTTATGACTCGGTGAGTGACGGGCAAACACAAGGGCTAACGCTCCAACTTGGCAAGAAAATTTAAAACTTTAGAGGATATAGAGACCCCCAGAACATCCCACGACATACATTCGCTCGGTTGAATGTGCACAAACGCCCAGCGCGCCTCCACTACTTCGCCTCGGTGCAGTGCCACCCCCACGCTGCCTCACCTATTCGCCTCGTGAGGCCCCAGCTCCCTCCAACCTCGTCCGTAAAGTTCCCCAAATTTACCCAAACAACTCCTCTCCCACCTCGCCTGCGATTAGGAACTCCCACACCACCCCTCCCCCTTGCCTCGGGGAATTGCCCGCACCGCGCTCCTTCGCCCCTCGCGTGAGTTAGCCACGCCACGCTCCCTCCACCACCTCGCCTCGGGAGTTGCCCTGCCAGTCCTCCATACCCCATTCCGCTGGGGATTGCCACGGCCCGAACTCCCTCGACACCTTCTGCCTCGGTGTGCCACGCCACGCTCCTCCACACTTCGTAGTCGGATTAGCATTCGCTGCCAACT